ACAGGTGCTGAGTGGCTGGGGGTGGGATGGGACACTTTGTTCTGCACCGCCCCAGTCACTCTGGTCCTCTGGACAGCATGGGAAGGCGTAAAGGTGTAAAGGCAGCTCCGGCCAGAGTGAAGGCAGTACTGGCAGCCAGGGGAAGGAAGGCCCATTCTTACACAAATCTTCATGCATCAGGCCTCTAGTATATATATAAAAGCCTAAGCAACCAGATGACCAGCATGTAGCTTTGACACACACTGACCACCATCAGGGGGCAGATGCTCATGCAGGGGCTGCCCTCTGGTGATCAATGCACTCCCATAGTAGGAGCACCGCTCAGCTGACAGATGGGCACCAGATGCTGGGCTCATGGCTGGTAAGTGCAGCTGGTGTAGCATGAGCCTCTCCTGGGGACACTCCCCCTGGGTGCCAGAGTGGTGGTGGCAGCAGGCACAGTGGGGCTGGGATGAGTGGGAGCAGTGTGGACAGTGGGCTGGAGTCCAATGAGCTGGTGGGTAAGGCCAGGCTATGGCAGTACGGAAGTCCACTGATCCCTGTGGGCCACCCCACCAGTGCATGAGTCCATGCACCAGGCCTCTAGTATATGATAAAGGAGGAAAAATATATAGTAGGGTAAAAACAGTCTATTCAATAAATAGTGTTAGAAAAATTAGACAAATAATGCAAAAAAAATGCAATTGGACTACCTTCTTACACCCTACACAAGAATTATAGATAAAATACTTAAATTTAAGACCTTAAACTACACCCATGACTAGTTCTTTTCATTCCTAGAAGACAGCTCTGCTTTTTAGATTGTACTTTTTAACTTATTGTAATGGGGAGGGGACATCCTACTTTTTCTTTATGCTTCTTTACCCAGTAGCCCTTAGTGATCATTTTCAAGAACATATAGAAACTGGCAACTTCCAACTGTGCAGAATGTCTCTGATAGCACTTCAGTGAGAAAGAAAAAAAAAAAAAAAAAAAAAGCACATTTTAACAAAACTAAAAAAAAAAAAAGCTAAATGATTTTACAATTTCTTTTCACTCAACTCTATGAATTTCCCAAGCCTTTGAGTTCCACAAGCTATATCTTAACTCTCATTGAATGAGCCTTCACAGCAACTCCAGCCCCTTAGGCCTCTGGTGAAGCCCAAAAGGAAGAAAGATTTCTATGGACAATAAGTCTCCTTTTTATTCTCTTTTCCTACTTTTTAAACTTCCAAACTGTTATCTCTTCATCACTTCCCTAAAGAGAAATCTAAGCACATTCTGAGCTGAAACGGTAGCACAAACTAGGGAGTTTTACCTCTAAGACTTTCTGGAACATGGCATCAGGATGAGGGGGCAGAGGGACAGATAGTTCCCGGGGCGGGGCAGGGAGTGAGGCAGTCATAAAGGTGCATGTGGCTGGAATGGCAGGTCTTTGTGAACGTGTGAAACATAGGTGGGTATATGAGTTAGAGACTGGTCCCAAACGTTGCAAAGCTTTTCTTGGCGATCATCTATTTCTGTTTTACTCCATTAATATTACTCTCATGCCTTACTTCCCATCTCTGAATTTTACAGCCCTGATATATTCCTTTTTATTTTTCTGGATGTCCGCATGACACTAGGAATTAATGACAGAGCACAGGCAGAAGTCCCCAAGTTTTCTGATCCACAAGCCCAGGAGCTGAGCACACTCACCCACTGGTTAAACAAGCAGGTGACAGGAGATGGGGACCTACCACTCATACACACGGTCCCCAGACCTGGGTACAGGCTCCACTCAAGATGGCAGGCGTGGGCACAATTTTCCTCTCCTATCTACCTTTGTTATCCCACCCTCACTCTCCCATCAACTCCTGCTCCACTTGAAAATTAAAATTTCATTTTATATTTAATTTCCCAACAACCTGACATATCAAATGAATAGTTCAATGAAGATTCCAAATGAATAACCCAGGGGGGCTATATTAGTTGAGGTTCTCCAGAGAAAAGAACCAATAAGGTAGGTAGTTAGATGGATAGACAGACAGACATTTATTATAACGAATTGGCTCACACAATTATGGAAGCTGGCAATTCTCAAACCCTGCAGGGTATGAAAACCAATAAAGAAAGCTTCCTTTACCATGGGTTCCGGAAGCTCTGAATTGGAAACTCTGGCGTTACTGCTCATCCACCTCACAGACTCCTCTGACAGAAAGAAGCTGATTTTACTACTTCAGTACAGGAAGGAAGGTTTTTCTCCTTGCTCAGCAACAGGCCCAGCCAATGAGAAACTGCCATGACTCAACCAACGGGAAACCACTACACCTCTACCTCCTGTTTTCCTCCATTACACGTTTTATTAATAACAGATCCTGATAACTCTCATTTTTTCTCTTTAAAGTAACTTTCCAGTCCTCTGTTCTCTGGACTTGCCTATGGTTTGCCATAGCTTGCATGTCCTGAATTGCAATTCCTCTGTCATTCCCTAATAAACCCATTTTGCTGGTAAAGTAACTAGCTGGGTTTTGTTTGTTTGTTTGTTTGTTTGTTTGTTCTTAAGGCTGAAAAGGTGAGTTAGCAAGCTGGATACTCAGGAGAGATGATGGTGTAAATCAATTCTGAAGGCCAACAGACTAAAGACTGAGGAAGAACTGAGGGCAATGTCCCAGTTCAAAGAATGCTCTCGTACTGACCCAGAGGATCAGCTTTTTCGTTCATAGGCACAGCCACTGCTCTTTCTCTCTTACCTCCTTTACTTTCTGCAATGGGTTTGTCCTTCACTTACTTCCCTGTCAAAGTCTAATCTCCCTCAGAATCCACCTGCAAGGCCTGGCCTAAGATTGGAGGGCAGACATGGGGTGTATTTTTCAGATTTCTAGAAATGAGCAACCCAGCCTCCCAGGCACAGAGGGGTAGTTTCTGACTGCAGTTCATTTGAGGGTGAAAGGCAAAGCCAGTACCTGGGCATGTCTGTGCAGTTGAGTGGGGTGTCTCAGGGAACCTGTGGAAGCACATGGGGTTTTAGGGATTGCAGATTGAGTGTTCCTAAAAAACTGAGGATCCTTGGCATTGAGCCTTTTCTCCTTCTCGTTCTCTCTGCCAAGACAGCTGCATTTCTCTCCTGCTATATCCCTCCTCCTCTCAGAAACTTACAGTGAGCAAGGACACATGCCTGCCTGCTCTCACTCTCTGCTAGACACACCCCCAGAGCCTACCATTTTTAGTTGGTGGTGTTTCTCTGTGTATTTGGTCCCGGTTTAAAGCTAAAACATATCATCCAATCTCCTCCTTTATTTAAAAATGGTATCTTGAAATTCAGGCAGCAGAAAGTGTTAGCACAGATAGAGATGACCATGACCTTGACATTCAGAGGCCCACTTAAGTCTCCAGTGCTTTCAGTACAAAATCCATGAGGCCAAAATGCTGCTAGTCCTCTAGACTTTGTTCTGTGTGTGTGTGTGGGGGGGGGGGGGGGGGGGTGTTGGAGGCCGGAAGGAGACAGAGCCAATAAAGACTGCTACCTCCTCCACCCTGCAAGCGCACACAGACTACAGACCCAGGCAGCAAATCACTGTCGCCAGGCTGTTTTGCTCAGTTCTTCTTCCCCAGATGCTTCCTCTTACCCTAGGCCCCTCACCCCTATTCCTCTGATGTCACTGACAGGCTCTTTGTGGACTGGCTCTGGAACTAGCCAAGAAAGTTTAGCCTGGGTGAAGGCCTGGAGAGGAAGGAGGAGAGAGCGAAGCCCACGCAGACTGGGAACTTAGTGCTGACAGCCTCTGAGAGTTTAGAATGTCTTTTCTCGCATATTGGTTCATGTATTTCAACAACTCTGAAAAGCATCTGCAGTAAGTGGACAGCACAAGTGTTCTGTTGACCAGATATTCCACTCGTTATACTTTCTAGCTGTAAAGAACTAAATTATCTGGGGGATGAAGATGAACATCACAGAGGACAGAAGATGGAACAGAAAGACCTAACGGAAATTAGGAAAAAAGGGAAAGTGGGATTTAGAATTGAGGAAGACCTATTGGATCCAGGACAGAAAGGTAACAACAGGTCAAACTTGCTCAGAAATAACTGAAAGAGGAGAGAAAGAGACATGACAACAGAAGCAGAGGGTCATGTGATGAGATTGCTGGCTTTGATGATTGATTAGATTATTGGCCTGAAGCAAGGTCCCAGGACAAAGAATTTGGGCAGTCTCTAGAAGCTGGGAAAGGCAAGGAAATCTATTCTTCCCTACAACCTTCAGAATGAACATAGCCCTGCCTACACCTTGATGTTAGCCAGTGAGATGCTACAGAACTGTATGATAATAAAGATTATAAATGTGTTGTTTCAAGCCACTAAGTTTGTGGTCATTTCTTACCACAGTCATAAGAAACACATGCACTGCCCAGCTGGTAAGTAAAGGATGTCATAGTGGCTTCAAAGTCCAATTTAAAAATTTACCAGTCATACCTTTTCTCTCCCTCTTGTCCAAGCTGTCACCTATTTATTGGTTAGTAAATTTAACCCCTTCCTGTTTTATTTAATCCATAAAACAATACATATGAAATCTTTAAAACAATCCAGTGGCTATGAAGTATCAATAGTCAATTCTTCACTCTTAGCCTTGCCCTTATATAAGCAATGTATATTTTTATTAAGACTGTAATCATACGTTCCATTTTAATACAATTTGATTCTTCTCATTAAAATTCTATCTTTAAAAAATCTATCTACAACCCACAGATTTTTAATTTGTCCTTAGCAATAATTGTGTATTATATAAATATAGTATTTATTATTATTATTATTATTATTATTATTATTATTATTATTTAGCAACCGCTCACTTGTTCATAAATAGTCTCACGGATTTGTCTTGTTACATTCTCAGGGCAGGCGCCAGTGTCTCCATCCTGGATTTGGGGCCTCATCTTTGAGCTGAAATTGACACAAAGCCAGCCCTCTGCAGTCCGAAGGTATCCGGCCAGGCTCCGCCCCCGCCCTGGAAGCCGCCAATCGGTTTCCAGAACGACCCCCCTACTCGTCCTCTTTCCCCCCCGCCCAACATTCCACCTCCCAGGCCTTGTCCGCTGCTCAATCCTTTCTCTGCTGAGCTCTTTTCCTTGGGAGCTGCCGCTGCCCTCTCTTAGCCAGTCTTCTCTACCCCCTACCCCGCGCTGCTGGGTTCAGCGGGACAAACGGTGAGTGGGGGTCAGAGATAAATTATGGACCACGAGAGGCCTGGAGGTGTCACAGGCCACCCCGAGCGCAGGTGGTCGGCGGGAGAAGAGAGATGTGAAAGCCCTGGGAGGCTATCTGTGTGCTTGTGGGGGTCGGGGGAGTTAGTGGGGGCTCCATATCCCAGATGGGAGGGTGGTAGAGGTGTTCCATGCAGGATTCCTCGATGTTATCTCTGGGATCCTTCACTGGTGTCTCCCTGTAGCTCGGCCTCTATTTCCGTCTGGCCACATCATCGTTATTCATTCACCCTTGCTCATCCGGAGGCGTTGATCCACTATTTTCTTGTGCTCCACAGGAGCCATTGTGATTTGAGCTAAAAAGAACCATGGATTGAGGCGATGTCACCTCTGTGGCTTGTTCTTGAATAATTAGAGTATAGCCTGCCTCTTCACAATCCCCCCCCCCCCCAGGTTAAAGTCCTCACCTATCCAAGGACTGTATGTGGGGCCCCAGAGTGTTGTGGTGGGGGAGGGAAGTGCAAGGTAAGGAGGGTGGTGGTGAGAGTGGGTGCAGGGAATCTTGTGGAATATTCAGTCTGGAATGCATTTGGCCTTCAGGTAAGTACTGAATTATACAGTTATCAGATGATAAACAGTCCTTGAGCTGGCCTCTGAGTTGACTCAATCTGCAATAGAGGGAGAAGTCCTTAAAGGAGGGAGAAAATGATTTACCAGTGGGACAGTCATGGAAACTATTGGAAGAAATGCAGACTTAACTAGACACAAAGGACAGAATAGCTGTCTAGATGACCATCCATCTTTTTATACTCCAAACTATTTACTTGTCAATTGATTTCATTTCAATACAGTACTCCCTATCTTCCATTTTGCGGTTTCGATTACCTCTGGTCAAACCAGGATCTGAACAGAAAACCACTATCTATTGAATAGAAAATTCCAGAAATAAACAATTTTAAATTGCATACTGTTCTGAGTATGATGATGAAATTTGGCACTATCTCTAGCCTTCTCAACTGAGATGCCTTGACCAAAACATCACTGTCAGGTATCATGGTACTTGTGTTCACCCTTATTTTACACATCCATTCTTTGCAATATGGGCCTCTGTATAAGAACTTGCTTTCTCCTCTCCAGAAAAGGCAGAGAGAGAACGTGAAAGCCAGATTCTTTTGTAACCTAATCTCAGAAGTGACGTCCCATCTGTTTGCTATCTGTTCATTAGAAGTGAATTACTAGTTTCAGTTCACACTCAAAAGGAGAGGGTTATACAGGAGCAGGAATACTCAGAGCAGGGTTTACTGGGGCCATATTAAAGGCTGCCTACTACAGGGCATATTAACAGTAATGTCTTCTAACATTCTCTTACATGACTCCTGGTTCACATGGGCAGGAGTTTCCCTGGAGTACACACCAAGGCATTGAATTACCAAGTTTTAAGATTTGTGTATATTCAACATTATTAGGTTATTTCCAAGCTGTTTTCAAATGCTGAGCCAGTCTGCACCCCTTTAAGCAATAGATAAGAGTCCCTGTTGTTCTACATACTTGTCATAACTTGGTATTATGAAATTTCATTTTTAGCCAGTCTGGCAGGAGTGAAATAGCATTCCTTTGTGATTTCAATTAACATAAGTCTGATAATTAAGTTGACCTTCTTTCCATACATATGTTGATAATCTGTGGTGCTTTCTCTCTGTGATAATTCTGGGCTTTGTGTGTGTGTGTTTTCTCATTTTTATGTTGGGTTGTCTTCTTCTTATTGAGTCATTGGAATATTTTCTTTTAGTATATGTGCTGCCCAAGCAAGCACTGGAATGCTTTCATTATATAAACTAAATGCCAATTAATCCTTTGTAAGCAACATATGCTGGAAATATCTGCTTTAAATTTGGTGCTTAGCTTTTCTTTCTCTGTAAATCTGTCTCTCTCAATGAACTAAGTTTTGAATTTTTATTTTAAGTGTCCAGTACTTTCTTTTATAATTTTTCTTCAGAAAAATAATTTCTCAAGATAGTAAATTAATTTTACTATATTTTCCTCTAAAAGATTTTATAATTTTGCATTTGGCAATTAGTCTTATTCCATCTGGAAATTGTTATATTTTTTATTCCATTTGGGTAATCAATTGTCCCATCACCTATGAGTGATCAGCATGAATCAAGTTTTTCATATATGCATGAATTTGTTCGAAGCTCCTTACTCTCTTTCATTATCCATTTGTTTAACTGCATCAACACTAAAATTGGTTTTAACAACTATAGTTTTGTAATTCTTGAAAGATTTCCCACCTCTTTCTGACGTTTTAACAATTCTTGGATCTTTGATCTTCCATATAAATATTTAAATAACAAAACAAGAAACAAGCTAACAGACAAACCTGCTAGAATTTTTATTGGTATTGAATTAATTCTACATATCTATTTGAGGAGAAATGGCCTCTTTAAGATGTTGAATCTTTCCATCTATGAACTTGGTATATATTGCTATTTATTTAGCTCGCCTTTAATGTTTTTTAAGGCTTTGTAATATTTTTATTGCTTTTTCTCATTTTTGTTATACTTGTTTATACATACATTATTTTTATTGCTATTGTAAATTATTTATTTTATAAAATTATATTTTGTACCTTATTATTGCTGGTGTGTAGAAATCTAATTGCTTTTTATTTATTGACTAGTGTCCTGGTGCACAGATTTGTGCACATTGAAAGGAAATTAATTAGAAGAAATATTTTAATATTGCTATTCACCTTTTTGCTATAATAGAAGTGGCAACCAAATTCACAATCGACAATGAGAGATCAAAACACACGTATACTATTGGTGCCGGCAAGAGCTTTATATGTACCACACAGGTGCGAGTCAACTTAACCTTTTGTATATAGAGAATAAACTTGCTTAATTAGACCTGCTTTCTGATATAGCTAAACTTTTTCCAGCCCAGTGAAGCACACCAACTTCTCTTTCAGGTAATTGTCAGCAATAAAGCAGTAAATATCAACACAAAGCAGATTATTATTGGAGATCATGCAGAGCGTACAAAGGGTAAAATATTTAACTGCAGCAGTGTTTGACTATATTCTGTGCAGTGAGAAAACCTGAAGTCATTTCCAAGTTCCACCATTTCTTACTTCTTTTCAGTTGGGTCAAGTTTCTAAACTTTCTAAATCTCAATTTTCTGGCTAATGAAAAGAAAATAGGAGTCTCCTATCTACCTACTCCAGGACTTCTGTGAAGATCAAATGAGATGAGGCATGTGTAAACACTTTACAAACATTTGGTTAAATTGTAAAACGTTTGCACCTGGCTCTAAAGCAAGTCGAGATCTTGGGCTGAAGAAACTCCAAGGAGGCTAATCACTAGGGAGAGGAAGCCGGGCATTGCTACATGGTCTCAGTTACCCTGCAGTGTGAACTGGGAAATGCCCAAAAGGAAAAAGCCATAGTGAATGTGGAGTTCATGTTCTGTTTTCCTTCCCTCAAGATCAGAACTTTTCAAATCCTATTTGTTTTGTTGGTCTTCAGAATCTTCCATTGTTTCCTATATTTTGTTCAACTTTTATTGCTATTTTCAGCAGGAGGGTTTTTCCAAACAAGGTATTATTCTCTCAGTGTCAGCATTGGAAGTCTCTCACTGTTTTATCTCGCATCTCAGATTATCAAAGATTATTTTATTTCTTCTTGAGCTACATCCTTTAGAATTTCTTCAAAACAGACCTTTTATAATAACACTTCAGTATTTGTTGGTCTGAAAATAAAATTTTAGAATCTTGCAATATTAGATAGTGCCAGGGTTCCCTATCAGTGAGAAAGCAGGAAGGGTAGCACTTGGGTAGCTTCTGGTTTTAGACTATTTGGCTGATGCTTCTTTGAACTCTATCTAGTACAAGTTTTTGGTGGTGTGTGTGTGTATTTCTATTGGGTATATAAATAAGAGTGAATGGCCATGTTTGTTTATTTTTCAAAGTGATTTTTGTAACATATGAAATGTGTAAAGAAAAAAATTACTGGCTTACCCTCCTCACTTCCTGAAGTCACTAAATATGTCCTTATTTTTCCTGTTAGGTAGACATAAACATAAAAACAGAATCAGCCCTGGCCTGTGTGGCTCAGTTGGTTGGGCATTGTCCCATGCATCAAAAGGTAGCCAGTTTGATTTCATACCAGGACATATGCCGGGGGTAGCAGGCTCAATCCCCAGTAGGGGGAGTGGACTGATGTGTCACTCTCACATCCATTTTTCTCTCTCCCTCTCCCTCTCCCTTTCCTTCTCCCTCTCTCTCTTTCAAAAAAAAAAAAAAAATCAATTAAAAAAATAAAATCATAGTTTTTCACTGAAAATATAGATTGAAAGCATTCCTCAAGCTCATCCTTTTTAAGAACTACATATTTTGTAATATGATTTTTAATAAAGTGTTCATTCATTTCTATGTTGCTGGGTAATTATACAACTTAATATTATAAAAGTTATTTCAATACTTTAAAAATTTCATGGTAGTCTCTATTACTCAAGGCAGAAACTGGAAAGGAAAACAGAAACTATAGAGGAATTATAAATAGGGAATGATATAGGATTTAAAATTGAGTTATTAATGTTCAGTCTGAAACAGAGAAAGAGGAAAGAACCCACTGAAATTTGGAGAGATATAGAAAGAAAAGGTTTAAGGGAGGAAATTAAAGGAGCACAAAGAAGACGAGGAAACTTTCAATACAGGAAATTTGTAATTTAATAAGTGTTCTACATCAAGTTGCTGTTTGTTTTTCTTTTTTAAATACATTTTTATTGATTTCAGAGAAGGGAGAGGGAGAGAGAAAAAAATAGAAACATCAATGATGAGAGAGAATCATTGATCGGCTACCTCCTGCGCACTTCCTCCTGAGGATCGAACCTGCATCCTGGGCATGTGCCCTAACTGGGAATGGAACTGTGACCTCCTGGTTCATAGATCAATGCTCAACTACTGAGCCATTCTGTCTGGGCTGTTTGGTTGGGTTTTTTTTG